GCCTTGATCTCCTTCAGGTTATTTTTGATCTCCCCACTTTCCTTTTTCCTTGTGGGTTCTATTCCAGCGTCTGTCTTGTCACATTGCTATGAGGCTTCCTGAGCGTGTGACCAATCCAGCCCCATTTCCTCTTTGCAATTTCTTCCTGGACAGGCAGCTAATGTGTTTTCCCCCATATGTCAGCGTTAGAGATGACATCTGCCATTTAATGTGCAGGATGTTGAGGAGACACTTGTTGTCGAGGGTCTGAATCCTGGTTGTGATGGTCTTGGTGACTCACTATGTCTCTGAGCCATAAAGGAAGACTGATTTCAAGATGGCGTTGAACAGTCTGACTTTGGTATACAGCGAAAGAGATGATGAGGTTTGAAGAGATTTGAAGGTTAATCTGTGTTTGTTGATTCGTGAGGTGGCGTCATTGTCTGTGCCTCCGTCCTTTGAGATGATACTTCCGAAGTACACAAACTTTTCAACTTCTATACTGTCTCCATCGAGCTGCACTGGGTCCTGTTGTCTGTTGTTGATTCTCATCATCTTGGTCTTGTTTTTGCAGCTTTCCCAGTAAGTTGTTGAGTCTTGGATTACATATCCTGCTACCTGTGTGACAGGAGATATAGATCATATGTAAAATCAAGACCTTCCTAGTGCTTTTATGAATGTCCACTGGATGCCTGTCTTTGTGTTGTTGGTAATCTGCCTCATCATCACATGGAAGCGCTAAATCCTCAGAATTAATTATGACGTTTTTGTTGTCCTACTGAATAAAAAATAGGTTGTAATTTGTTGTAGCGTATATATAGTTAACCGTTTCACGTGGAAGCGCTAAATCTTCAAAACTAACTAATCTATATCTGTATGTACAAAAGTGATGAATTTGATTCTCTGGGGTCTGCGTATGTGGCATATCTAACATTTTATGCATATTCGTGTACTATTCGAGACAATTTCCAAGTAGAAAAATTAATAATATGAAAACCGAATGTCTCTGTAGAGCTTGAATAAATATTGACAAGTATTACCACACAAGTATTACTATGGAAGTACCATTGGTTACTTCTTTTGAATATAAGCTTAATAAATCAAGAGAGCAAATGGTAAAATAAAAGAAGCACAAATTCCACTAAAGAAAGTATTCATAATTATTTAGATAATATTCTGTCATCACACCTCAGCATTTGTGAAGCACGAAAAATGTATTAACGCATACGTTCGACCTGAGAGTGAGAGACGCATGTTATTTAGTCAGAAATACCAAAAGGAAAGCCCCCCTCCCCCCACCAAAGGAAGGTTGGCTATGAAGAGCTGAAGTATTAATTCAAAGCGTCTATCACAAGACCGAAACTGACAGAATGAGGAAGTGATTACGGGCTCCTCTTTTCCACCGCAGTTCTAGTGCTCGCTGATGTGATGGCAAAGGGAAGTTCCAGCGGCTTGATAGTTTGATGAATTAATACACCCGTGGCCATGAGCCCAGGCTGTGATGACAATGGAAGTGATCCGACCACGTGACATGTCTATAAAGAAGCACACCGAGCAAGTTCATCAAGCAGCATAACTCATAGTTAACATTTTTTGTGCTTTCAGAAAGAAGAAAAGAGAACTTGTGAGCTTGCTGAACATTCCTGTGCTGGTACGTTCCTTATGTGATACTAACAATTCTTTCCTGGGCTTCAATAATTAAAATCACATACACCATGTAACACTAACAATTCTTTCCTGGGCTTCAATAATTAAAATCACATACACCATGTAACACTAACAATTCTTTTCTGGGCTTCAATAATTAAAATCACATACACCATGTAACACTAACAATTCTTTCCTGGGCTTCAATAATTAAAATCACATACACCATGTAACACTAACAATTCTTTACTGGGCTTCAATAATTAAAATCACATACACCATGTAACACTAACAATTCCTTTCTGGGCTTCAATAATTAAAATCACATACACCATGTAACACTAACAATTCTTTTCTGGGCTTCACTAATTAAAATCACCTACGGCTGAAAGCAAACAAATATTTTAATACATAAATATACAGAGTAGGGGAAAATATTTGAAATACTGACTTACTTATTTATATAAGTACCATACGTGAATATAGATGCACACATACAAAAGAGCTGCCCCTCAGTGGCACAGCGGTATGTCTGCGGACTTTCAACACTAGAAACCGGGTTTAGATACCCGTGATGGGTACAACATCGATAGCCCATTGTGTAGCTTTACGCTTAACAACAAACACATTTAACAAATATATTATGTTTGGGTATCGGAGCTGTAAAGTTTAGATAGAAGGATGAAATAAATATAACTAATCAACAAAATTTAGGCTTTAAACAATTACATATTTGGAGCAAGATTAAGAATACTGTTTGTCTTCGATGTCACGTACTACAATGTAGAGTTTTGTTTTAATGGACTGCTCCTTCCTGTTTCTAGAGTGGGATAACGTTTCGTATTCTATACTAAGCCTATACAAAAATACTACAATGCCTTCCAATGCAAAATAATTAGAATTTTCCATATAGGATTTTACTTTCTTATCTATTCGAGTATGTGTTTTAATATGGTCTTTTCATCCCATTAGTTTCATACCTTCTATAGATTGTTAATGTTAATCTCGTACCATTAAAAAAAACAGTTTTATGTTCACATATAGTCAAAAGATAATTAAATGTAAGATTTACTCCGCACGTGACTTTCAAGGAAATATTAAATCTAAACTATTCATATTTCACATTGAGGTTATATATTTTTTATAATAATAAGGACTTTTCGGCAGAACGTTAGAACAGCATGATTGTAAAAAAACTCACTGTTTAACATACCACTGCAAAGAGCTAACCTTGTTTTCATCTAGTGAAACTAAAATGTTTAATATATTTCACGTTTCCTATTTTGAGAATATATGATACGTCTAATCGTTAAGGATTTTATTATCACTTCTTTAGAGTGTATCCGCCGTCTCCCAAGAAACTAAAAGATATTTGCATAAAAACTGTGAAGGTTCTTCCACAACACGCTGTAGTAATCCTAAAGGTTTGCAAAAAAAGAGGGGAAACTTTATTGTTTTTTGCTTGTTTTTGGAATTTCGCGCAAAGTTACACGAGGGATATATGCGATAGCCGTCCCTAATTTAGCAGTGAAATACTAGAGGTAAGGCAGCTAGTCATCACCATCTACCGCCAACTCTTGGGTTACTCTTTTACCAACGAATAGTGGGATTGACCGTCACATTATAACGCCCCCACAGCTGAAAAGGCGAGCACGTTTGGTGGGACGGGGATTTGAACCCTAGACCCTTAGATTCCTAAATGGGAAAAAGATTGTTCATATTAGAGAAACAAAATGTGGGTATAGATAGAGGACTGGCGCAGTGGTTTTCGAACTGTGTGTCGCGAGCTAGCTGCTAGGGATGTCGCGTAAATCTAGGAAAGTGAGTTAGAGTGTCACCAGTGAAAAAAAGTTTGGAAACCACTAGACTAGCGAGTGTTTGAGAAATGATTGGCAACGAATGTAGTAAAAACGTTTTGTGTTTGGAGCTTTAAAACACTTCAAAGTGTATATTAACTGTTCACACTTCCTCACTTTGAAGAAATAACGTCGTAAGTCAGAAGACATCAGCTGTTGTTGAGTAATCCTATGGACAAACCCGATAACGCCGAGTTAACTACACCAGAGGGAATTAAAAATAAACACGCTTAAGACAGAAGCTGATGTTCGATGACTTCGTTGATTGCAAAACCCTTCTTATGACTTCGTAGAACGTAACAGGAACTAATTAGTGTAAAATAGCCAAAACCACTATTGATAAAAATTTATAATTCATTCTTATACTAACTTATATATATATATATATTAACAAAGCAATATTTCTGTATCGGTTTAATTTTTTTAAAACTGAATGCAAGACATTGAAAAAATAAAATAAGCTTTGCAAAATTCCACTCTCCATCCTGTACTGACTACTGAAGTGGATTATGTTTTTCTCAAGATTTTCGCATCCTGTCACTTGCAGTTGTGCCGCTCTAAGTATTTTCTTAATGCATTTACGCTCAAGAAGAATCTGACAGCATTGTATTCACTGCCTCTGCTCGAGTATATCGAGGAAGGAATTTAGAGCAAAACTGAGGGACGGAATATGTTAGAAGCTGGTTGTTTTTCGTTGGATGTATATGTCAAAGGTCAAAGCTACGTAAAAATCAACAATTGTCAGTTAATTTTCATTTGCTATCAGACTATCGAATCGAATATGCATTGCCTTTAAAATTTAAACAACATGGCGGTAACAAGATTGGCGGTGGGTGGCGATGACTAGCTGCCTTCCCTCTAGTCTTACACTGCTAAATTAGGGACGGCTAGCGCAGATAGCCCTCGTGTAGCTTTACGCGAAATTCAAAAACAAACAAACAAACTTCGGGCCATGATTCAAAAGTCAAAATAGAAAAGAATTTCGACTCATGTCATTATAAATATGTTTAAATATGTCAAAAAAACGGGAACGATATGCAAATGACAGCTAACTGCAATTAATATCCAGATAATTCGATCATAAATAGTCAATTGATATATTTGAAAACAGTTATGTCCACACACTTAGAATTTGTTTCTGTCGTTTGAACGAAAACACCCCGAATGAGTTCAGTAGATTGTGCTTTATTTTTATTTCATTGTTTGTCATGATGAAAGTCGAGATCTTTCGAATGCTTAGCCTTATTTTACATCTTTTTCTTTGTTATATGAACTTGAGTAACGTTCTTGTTGCCAGTCACTGACATCAAGATACAAGTCACTGAGTTTGAGCTAAAATTCTTTACGAGATGTTATAAGCTTTCAAGATCTGAAAAAATTCTTATGCTTTTGTGAAGCAAAAAAAAAAAAAATGTGCGTACTAAAAGTTTCTCCTGGTCCCATTTAGACTTCCTGTTTTGATTAATTTATAATTCATCTGACATTTCTCACCAAAAAACACAACCAAAATAAACTTACTTTGATGCCATTTTAGTACAGAAGAAATGTGAATCCAATTACAATGTTTTTTCTCCCTGATCACAGCCTTAACTGTATAGAGGATACGGATGCATTGAGCTAGAATATCACTCCTGCCTTTTATCGCATCTTTCGACTGGGAATATTATAGCAATAACAATTTCCTCGTGAAGTTCTAGCCATACTAATATCACATTGTTAAATCATGACTCAGTAGTGAAGTTGTCACGTGATAATACTTTTTTTTGCGTCCATTGGTCCAAAGTATATTGGTAGGACGTTGAGGGTATTATTTAATGTTATTCCTGCGAAAGCATCGTCGAGTTACATTGCCATGCATAAAAATAAATTCAGTTACTATAAAATGTTTTCACAAAAAAAAAAAAATCATATATATAAATATATTGTTTG